TCTTAGACAAGTTTGAAAGGCAGTGGAATCATACTCAAAGAGATGGTTCTCTACCTGCAGCTCTGACAGGTGAAAATTTTGTTTACAGTATCTGGGAGGAAGAAAAATCTATTCAGGTTGCTTACATGAGGAAGAGGAGAGAAGATGCTGAGGTAAGCAACATGTTTAACATAGTCTTGCTTTTGCATTTTCTGAAATCTAGCCAGCTACTTCTCGAAGGATCCTGACACCCTTTGGAATTTGATACAGTTAAAGGATAGAACTGATCAACCTCGGGGGACTTGGGAGGATGTATATCGTAATGCTAGAAAGGCTGATCGCATTAAGAATGAACTGCATGAAAGGGATGAAGGAGAGCTTGAAAGGACAGGACAGCCATTAACTATCTATGAACCATATTTTGGGGAAGGAACTTGGCCTTTTCTGCATCGCACTTCACTCTATCGGGGCGTTGGAATGGTAATTTTTTGTGATTACACATTAAAATGACATATTTTTTCCATTTTTTACCGTCTATTTTATTTGAGCTGAAAACTTACTCAATGTTAGTAAATCCCAAGAACATTTTTCTTTTTATTCTTAATTATAGTAACTTCCTGACTTGTGGTTTCTGTCCAAAGTGCAGAATGTTAACTGCGTATGCCAATGAGTTCATATGCTCATGGGATTTAGATTTTTAATCTGTATACAGCCATGTACATTGGCTGCTGTTGTTGTTTTTTTTTTCTTGTTTTAATGTTGTTGTTCTAATAAGTGAAAGCTAATTATTGCTAGGAGAATCCTGCTGTGGGTAGAATGGAGGGTGATATTACAGCCTAGTTCACAAAAATTTGTTTCCCTTGTTGGCTAGAAGTTAGTTGATCCAGCTTCATTTGAGAAGTCTTAGGCTTTATTTTAGTTGCCTGATTCTAGAATTACATGACAGCATAAGGTGTGACTGTCAATTTGTTAATCAGCTTTAAGTTAAATGTTTTAGAACTTGGAAGGTATTGTGAGTAGTATGCTGCCTAATTTGTTATATAATGGACACTGATTTTTCATATCTGATTTGACACATGGAATTGATGATTGTAGTCTACTAGAGGTCGGCGAAGCGGGGCTGATGATGTTGATGCACCTTCTCGGCTTCCTCTTCTACATAACCCGTATTATCGAGATGTGCTTGGTGAATGTGGAGCCTATTTTGCAATTGCAAACCGGATTGATCGCCTACATAAAAATGCTTGGATAGGCTTCCAGTCTTGGAGAGTAACTGCAAGGAAGGTACTTTCTTGATTCTGATTCTGTCTTCTTGATGATAGTCCATTTGAATGTCTCATGGTGTCTTATTTCGTCAATCTTTTAGGAAAGGGGTTCATTTGCTTGCTGATGGAACAGTTTTGGATACTAATTCTTCAAAAGTGATCTCTACAGTCCTCTCTGTTTCTTGAAGTGAAACTATATCTTAACATGGTGAATGAAATTAATTTGGTTGTTAAAATGTTGAAGAAGTCCGTTCCACTATAGCTGCAATCAGGATTTTATTATATCTTAACATGGTGGATGAAATTTGATTATTCAATATCTGGTAGGCAGCTATAGCTTTCTGAAACTACTCTTATCTTCTTTTCTTTAGATACATGAAATGAAGTTGATTCGATCGCCTTACAGTGCTTCAGTAACTTGTTGGAGCTTGCATCTCAAATACAATCTACTCATCTAGTGTCGGACATGCAAAAACCCTTAAATTTCACCGAAATTGATTTCTGTTCTTTGGTTGCATCTTATTTCTGTTACTAAGTTCAAAATTGAATTTGTATATTTTTGTTAGTGTGTTCGGTAATGTATTAATGAAATTCCGAAAAAAAAAATAGAAAAGAAAAGAAAATCTGAATTCCGCAGTCAACCTGATTTCCTGTCATTGTTTTCCTATACTATAATGAGTACAATATATGGTCTTTCCATCTTGTGCTTGAGTACTAAGAACAGGCTTCACAGGAATCTCTGTCAAGGACTGCAGAAATTTCACTGTTAGATGCCATCCAAACTCGAAGACATGGTGATGCACTGTACTTTTGGGCTTGCATGGACATGGATCCGAGAAACCCTCTGAAACATGATTTTTGGACATTTTGTGATGCTATAAATGCTGGGAATTGCCGGTAAGGCTGCTTCTTAGTAGCTTCTCTTCCATGAATATATATATATATATATATATATATATATTCACGTTACATAAACACGTGCATATAGACGTGCAAACTGACTACACATAATACATACTACGCACATAGATATTGAAAAATGTCAAGTCGTAAGCATCTTAAGTCTATGCAGCCTTTCCTTCTATTTTGTCTTTAAAAATTAAGGTTGATGATTTAGCATAGGGTTAAATCTACATATATAAGGTTGATAATTTTTCTCTTCCACATCCTTTGAACGTCAATTGCTGATTTTATTGCACAAATTGTTCTCTTGAATGCACAAGGCTGGTTTCCAATTACTGGACCTGTATTCTCCAACAAATAGACCCTTATATCATCATAAAGATGTGAAGAAAGATAATTTAAGCGTGGAAGGGTCAATAGCCAATCAGTTCCTATTACTAGTTTTAGGACTTTTCTGACTATTTGAAAGATATAGTATGTAATTGTCATAATGAAAGGAAAAGAAAAATGTTTTATGGGACTTGATGTTCCCTAATACTCCAATAGGACTTATAGCCAATTTTCTTATGTACTTTTGTTCTAGATTCTCTGCATGGACTTGAATTTTCTCTTACTTCTGTACCAATTTGAAGGTTTGCATTCTCTGAGGCTCTAAAGAAGATGTACGGCGTAAAGCATAACTTGAGTTCTCTACCTCCAATGCCTACAGATGGAGACACATGGTCTGTCATGCATAGTTGGATTTTGCCAACTAGGTCCTTTTTGGAGTTTGTTATGTTCTCAAGGTTTGAACAATTATGTTCTATGATTAATATGCACCCAATATTCAATATCTTTCTTATTTTCCATTTTCCTGCTATTCCCTTTCCTGAGTATGGGAGTTGATATACCAATGTAATTGCTTTTGTAAATGCAGGATGTTTGTAGATGCGCTTGATGAACAATTTTATGAGGAGCACCATCCAAATGGACATTGTTATTTGAGTTTAACAAAAGTAAGTCTTGCAGTCATTAATTTCCAACAGGAACTGGTTCGTGCACAACATTATTTCCAACCTAATTTCAGTAGGGCTTGAAATTGAAGCATATACATTAATTTTTTGGTGGACATTGACTTCTGTAACTGTTTGAATTGGGTGACCAGTTGGCGCATCTTCCTTGACGAAACAATGAGTTGGTCATGTGTAGTCAATATTGTCACCAAAGGTTTTATTTTGCCGAAATTATGCATCAGGACAATTTGGCACATATTTCGTCGAACAAAGACTCGACATTTAAATGGTTTCTAACCATCAAGAAGGGTGAGGGGCAATGAGACCAGATATCCAAATATCTATAAATATCCCAGCACGTATAAGATGCTATCATCTTTCCTTGTGCATCAAGAGAAAATAAAGGCTTTTGGGTGATGGTACATATGGACCAGGGCAATTTAGATATCATGCCCTGGGGGTATTAAAAAAGGAAAGGAAGGAAGGAAAACCTAGCCCAGGTCTTAAGTAAATCTGCCAACATGTAGAATTACATCTTTTTCATTGGATTTCATTCAATCATTGGTCTTTCTTTTGGGATGAGGTGATTGACCGTTTCTTCACTCTTTCCATCTTGGCAGGACAAACATTGCTATTCACGGGTGCTTGAGTTACTTGTAAATGTTTGGGCCTATCATAGTGCAAGGCGAATGGTTTATGTGAATCCAGAGACCGGCGTGATGCAAGAGCTGCACAGGCTTAAGAACAGAAGAGGTCAAATGTGGGTCAAGTGGTTCCAATATAACACTCTCAAGAGCATGGATGAGGACCTAGCTGAGGAGGCAGATTCAGACCACCCAAAAAGACGATGGCTGTGGCCATTGACAGGTGAGGTTTTCTGGCAAGGTGTATATGAAAAGGAGAGGAATCTAAGAAGTCGAGAGAAAGAAAAGAGGAGGCAACAAAGTAAGGATAAAATTTCTCGAATTCGCAGAAGGACTCGTCAGAAGACAATAGGAAAATATGTAAAGCCTCCACCAGAAGAAATGGAGAAGTCAAACTCAACAACAATGAAAACCAAGCTCTTAAGGTAGCATTCTCTTAGCGTACTTAGTGTCTGTAAGAGTAGTTTAGTTTGGTATATTACAATTATTTTGCCTCAAAATTCACCCTACCATTGTTTCATTTTTGTTTAGAAAGGGTGCCTAGGTTTCATGTATTTCATTTGAGGTCTTGTAAGTATATGGCATCCTTCTGATATTTGCCGCTCAGGTCCTGAAAATGTATACAAATTCATTTGTTTTCGTACTTCCCCCACCTTTTTGGTGTCTTGTCTTCCTGACTTCTTTCTTTGAGACATTGATAAGGGAAGCAGGCACATTTCCTTGTAATCTAACTGGCAACAATGTGCTGAGCATCTGTGAATGATGATATCATTGTAACTTCAGAAGTGATCTATAGAGAGAGTACTTTGTTATAGAAAGCGCGGCGAGTTGAGTACAAAATTGCAATGACAGATAAATATGCTGTTGCTTCTTTTCAGAACGGATGTCTTATGGAGGAATAAATCTTTCATTTATCACTTTTTGTTTGGTTTGTATGTGATTGCATTATCTATCACAGAATCGCAGCATTCCCACTTTAACAGTAAAATAACCGAGCACTTTTCTTCAGTTGCTAGTCAATTCATTCTGACATCAGAAAGTTCGTTTTGATGATAACTGGAATGAAATTCCTCGGACAACATATAAGACTGGTTGAATTCCTGAAGTTGGTTTTGATACTTGTATCTCATTTGATCTGCCGTTTTCATGGATTCAAATAGGAAAGTCGAGCCATTTTCACCACTATCATAAATTAAAACTTCAAATTCGAAGTCACAATGCACTATGGCTCATCAAACATCGCTGATACTGTCACGAGCTTCTTCCTTCTTGCCATACCAAAGGGCTCACATGGTGATGATGAAGGTAGTCTTCTTGAAACTTGCAAAACCAGGCCTGTATGGAATTATAAGCCTCGCGTTTTTGTCTCATTAAAGTTTACAAGTTAATAGGAGTTAAGGTGCTACTTTCAATTGGCGGCCCTGGAGATGGCTACCATCTTTACTCTGCTGACAATGCCAGGCAAGCTTGAATCAACTTTAAACCACAACACATGCTACGATACCACTAATTACACCAACTATTTGCCACCATTTTACTTCTGAAACTTTATCAAGATGGAGTTTAAAGAAGATACACTAGCAAACTAGTTAAGGGTTGAATCTATTTCGTTTCTCATGTCTCATTCAATTTTATATTGCTTTTCCATGGCCAGATCAATGGCTGAGTGCCACTCTTCAAAATGTTTACTTTGATTATGTTTGGGGTTCGATTTTACAACGATAAATCTTGTGAGTATTCTGAGAACTGGGAAAATATAAGGAAATTGTAGCGATTATGGGCGGCAAACATATTCGTCCCCAAGATGTATTTGGGATTGCCTGCATCGCCTGTGTCAGCTGAGAGTGGCTTTGTTGAGCCCAATGATCTAATTTCTTTTCTACCATCCATCAAAGATTCTGTAGGTATTATGACCACGCATATAGCTCAGCATTGAAACGTTATGTCTGAATTCCAAATTATGCCCAAGCCTAAGTGCATGTGTTTATGTAGTCGAATGGATCAAATAACGAAGCGAACTCAGCCTAAGTGCCCAAGCTGAGCTCTTTCTTTAGTTTAAGCTTCGTTAACCTCCTACTTTAATTTTTTTTTTTAATTTCTATTGCTTGATGAAAATGCTAAAGGGATTCTTCAAAAGAAAATTTGCTTCATAATGCAGTAAACACAAGAAGAAAAGTAAGAACATCCTTCTACATGTTTGGCAACTTGGGGAAAATAGCTTTTCACACAGCAAATGCTGCAGTTCACGTCTAATAAAAAACCGGTTGCCCAAACCTTTTTTTTTTGGTCAAATACAGTTCCTGTAAACATATTACAACTGCGATAATGGCATTGACAAAGGATTGTGGAGTCAGACTTGTCATTGCCACGAAATTGGCTAAAGAAACTTGTGTATCAGTTTGGCTCGCTACATTTCCAGTAAGTCATGCAAATGGCGTTGATCGCCTTCTTTAAATGATCCCATGCAATACCTTCAGCATTCAGGGTCCCTTAACCCACCTATAAGTCCCTTTAAAAATTGAATGCAACTGGAGTTAGTATCCAGCCATACAGAATTATGGGTAATCATCATCCTATTGCAACTCTTCTAGCACCATAAACAAGGACCTGGTCATTCTTGCGGATATAACATCCCAGCTGCTAGAACGGGTGAATACATTTGCAGGTCCTGCCTTTAATACCTTTGGGTTGCTTCAGAGGGATGCTCCTCCAGTTAGGTTGTCTACTAATTTTCCAGAACCTCCTGCTACTCCTGCTAGTGCTGCAGAGGATGCTACTAATCTTGCTGAGCAAACAAAGAACATGAGTGCAGGACTTGTCAAGGCTGCCAAGCAGTTTGACTCGTTGGTAGTTGCCCTTCCGCTGGCTGAGGGAGGTAAAGAAGCTCAGCTGAAAAGAATTGCCAAACTTCTGGCTGAAAATGATGTCGTAGGCCAAGAACTACTAAAACAACTGGAAGCTGCGGAAAAGGAATTAAAGCAAGTGCAGGAGTTGTTCAGGCAAGCAACAGACGACTGCTTGAACTTTTAAGAAACCGGATTGAAGGCTAGGCAATTTTTTAGCATAATTTTGATGAGTATGTTGCAGTAATATGTTTGGTAACGTGCTCAAATAGATGCTTTTAGCACTGCAAAATCTCATCCGAGAAGCCATTTCCTAGTATCTTGCTGATATTGTCCTTTGATTTTGAGGTTCAGTATGTGAAGGAATGGAAGATGGTTATTTACAGACATTTCAATACGCAATTTCATTGCTTCATAAGCAATTTATTTCAGCTTTCAGATCTTATCCGTTGTCTTTGTTACTTTAATTAAATTTGATATGAGGAACTTAAGGCAACTGCATGCCAAATTGGATAATATTTTTTTTCTTCAACCATGAGCTTAAAGAATATTATCCCAGAATCTTCCTCCTCCTTAAACCAGCCCCAATGCGCTGAGTTACTAATTTGTTTCTTAAGGTGTTTCTGTTTCCCATGGCGGTAGAAATTGCAAGTAAAATTACAATTCGATTTCTATTGTGTGTGTGAATTAGAACTAGAATTGACCTTGGAAAAAACTTGCTACTAAGAGAACCTGAAAACTTCAAGACCAGGGAATTGGGTGGTATCATAGTATAGACTTCAAGATTAGTAGAAAAAGCAAAACGCCGGCTTTGTTGTACTTGATATATGAACTTTACACAGAATTCAAATACAGTAATTGCCACTCTACTGACTTCGCATGAACCACATCTACATTGCAAGCGGGACAGCTTTCTCATTCAAAGGATCATTTTATGGTTTCAAACAAGACGGTCCAGATGGTCCAGATGTATATCGAGTTGTACCATGTCGTCTCATCTTCCATTTCTTTTTCCTAGACAATTTCTTCTCCAGATCTTTGACTCTTCCAGAAAGGTTGGAAATTGCAGTCAATTGCTGTTGTCCTGCTTCAATTAGTTTCTGCATCATCTCCCGCAGCTTGTCATTTTCTTCAACCAGCTTTCTATCATGTTCTGTGGATGCATTACTCCCAAGAGAAATCTGGCTGGCAGTTGGCGATGATGGAAGAACCTCTCCTGCCTCTGTTTCCTTTGCATCCGGTGGAACAGACATCATCTGATCCACAAGATCTTGTTCCAAAGCAGCAGAGTCACAATCCTGCGCAAAGAATTTGTTATCTACCGTACCTAATCCAGATGCCTCCATACCAATTCTCTCATCTAGCAGCTTCTGTTCAGTACTTGCATCATTCCATGATTTGGTAAATACCTTAGGAGCATCACACACTTGAGCTACAACTATTGCAGCTTCGCAACTTGAAGAGTAGTAGTTTTCAGCAACCCCATTTTCCTTTGAAGACTCATTTTCAGTTTCAGCTTCAGTTTCCATGGTAGCAAGCTCCTGCAGAACCTCTTCCTCAGCTTTATAAACTTCTACAGGTTTAGTTGAAGCAGTGAGCTCTTCCCTTTCCACCTCTGCAGAGCATATATGCAAGTCATTCATGTAACTACCTAAAACATTGGCATCCATCTCTAATACAACTTGATCATGCATCTCAGAGATATCCCCCAGTTCAGAAACACAGCCCTTGTCCTCTTCTAGAGCTTGCACTGAAAATTCCTGTGATTTCAAATCCACCTTCTTACAGAGCTCCATGTTGTTGGCCAGATTTTCATGACATGCCAAAGTTACATTAGATTTGGAAGTGACTGTCTTCTTGACCACAGGCTGCTGCCACCGCTCTGCTTGATCCATATTTAGAACCTCATCATCAGGCACCTCTGCATTAATATCCCTGGTCACGTCATCTTTCACGAATTTGTCATCCTCCTTGTCAAGAATCACGTGCTTTCGGGACTTGTCAACGTCATCATCAGGCACTGCTTGTGGCAACTCTGTTAACTCCTTTACACGTAAATTATCCTCCATTACCTCTCCATCTTGCAGAGCTTTGTCATCCACTGCTTCGGACAGCAGAAGACTATCGTCTTGTGACTTAGAATCAGACTCGAGTACTCCTTTCGGCAACTCTGCTAGTTGCTTGATATTGGGAACCTCATCTGTCACGAAGGCTCCTCCTCCTCCAACCCAAGGATGGTTCACCTCTTCGGAAAAAGGTTGAGGTTGAAACTCAGAGGACCGTCTTTCACCGTCATTGCATACCAGATTCAGCGAATCATCTCTAGCCCTATTGTCTGGTAGGCATCCTGCTTCACTTTTTTGTGTTGTATCAATCTTTAATAAATCTGTAATGGGTACCTGCGCACCATTGTTCAAATCCTCCTTATTCATTACCGTCTCTGGGATCTCCAAATTTCTAGTGTCGGATGCAATGTCCAGCACTGGAGGGGCCACACCTTTACAGAGCTCTTCTGGATAAATCTCATGCACATCTTCAGCTTTGGATAGACTACTTTCGAGGAAAGCTTTTTCTGCTTCTTCTCCTTCTTGGAAGCATCGATTATCAATTAATTGCATATCTTCATAAGGCTGAGCACTTGAACTTAGCTTATGTGCACTTTCAGATCTCTCGAGGCTTACATGATCAAGCTTCTCCTGTAGGCTCACAAGTTCTCGCACCACTGATTTCCTAACATCTCTAATGCTTGGGTGCAAGCCCTGAAATAGAAAGATTAAGTGAGTTACTGATTTACAAAATTCAACCACATTAACGACTAATGAACAACCAGGAAACAAGGTGTGAGTAGCAAGGTAAAATGGTGTGAAATGGATGAATCTCCAAGGAGAACTAAAAATTACCTAACCAAACAATCTAGACTCGTTCACTTACTCCTACAACTTTTCACAAAGCAATCATGTCAGCATACATTTCTTGACACACATATCCAATGACAGTGCTTATGTAACCATAAAGCTTATTATCTTATCAAGGATTTGCCTCACCCCTTCTGTACCAGCTTAAGGCGGCATGGGCCCCTTTATACTTGTGCAAAACATGTTGCATTACGAATAAAAATCAGCACCAATACCTTAAGAAAATGTCAATGAAACTTCAACATATAGACATTTCTGGAAAATGTCCAAGACGTCACAAAATGACATTTAGACAGAAAACTCGATATAAATTGCACAGCAAGCAAATGTTGTAAACCTATTAATATATAACTTGCACAGTTTTTATGCTTACCTGAATTGCATCTAGCTTTAGCAGAAGGTTCATTATAGTCTCTCCAAGCATGGTTCTCAACTTGTCATTTTCCCCAGTATCAGAACACGACTCCAAGGCCTTTATGCGATTGTTCAAAGTAAAAACCTCCTCCTTGATATTGGCAATTTGTTTCAACTTTTTTAATGGTTCCCGTCTACGCACTTCATACCCACGATAAGCTGACTGTATAATAAGAGCTGCTTCAACTTCTGACAACCTAATTTTTGCAAACCCCTTTGGTTCGTCAGCAGAACTCTCATGCACCTTGGAGTTTTCTTTATCCTCATCGGACTGACATATGGAATCAAATGATTTAACCTGTACTGCTCCTCGATCATTTTTGCTCTCAGCTGAACTCTTCAAATCCACCTCACTGGCAGCCACATCAGGGAATAGTTCTTCAGAATTATCATTGGTTTGGTGTACCAGTTCTGCATCATGGGAATTAGCTGACAAACTTCTCCCATGAGGACCAGAAATGCTCAAATATTCAGCCGGCTCTTGTCTGTTTTGTCTGTCAGTTACTTCAATCATTTTCACTCTCTGCTTACTTTGCTCCAGATTCTTGGCTGTTTCTGGCATACTCTTTCCCACTGTCATGTCTTTCTCAGTACTTTCCTTCGTAGTGGATGAGCTAGGTAGCTGAGAGCTGTCCTTAGACAACTTGCGCAATTTCCCTTCGTCACCAGGAGGACTAGGGGACCCTGAACCTCCATTATTTTTATTCTTCTTACGCAAAGGATCGACTCTCAGACAAATAGGAGGTAATTTTGATGACTTCATTGGAGAAGATGACTGGCTTGTAGGAGAAGTTTGAGACGATATTCTTTCATCAATAACATTCAGATTTTTTGCCAATGAACTTTTTACTTTCTCCTTATTGTTTTCCAGGTTTTTCTTTTCCTTAGTAGGTTCTGCTGACTTGACTGGAACCGTCTTTTGACCACCGTTTTTCTCTGGAGCTTTCGAGCATTCGCGATTATGAATTTCCTTAGTGACATCCGGTTTACTTGCCTTCTCATCAGCATCAGGAATCATCACTGGAGTGACCTCCAACTGGGGAGATACTCCCTCTGCAGATTCTTCACCAAAATTGGTTTTGCCACTGTCCTTCTTTTTCATTTCTTCCGGACTCCAAGGCATCCAGAATAAAGGAAAAGACAATTGACGCTTACTTTCATCTTGATGTTGTTGCTTCCAGGTTGAGTCATTGCCTTGCTTTGCCAAGTTAGAGTTTTCCATGTCAAAAGGGAACCATCCATTTAGCCACTTTTGCTGCTGTCCTGAAGGTTTTGATGACTCATCAGCTCTAGCAACACCAGAATACTTTTCCTTCACTTCAGGTTGTGCTTCATTTGCCTTATTAATTGCTTCATTCATCATATAACTTGGTGGAATCCACATAACTGGATATGGATAACTCTTCAAGTCAAAAGGAACCACGGCATTATTTGCCTTCTTTTCTATATCAGGATCTTCTTCCTCAATCTTGACATTCTTTCCTGGTGTTGAATTGTGTGTATGATTTGGACAACCACAGCAACGACTCTCTCCATGCATCTCACTATGGTACTTATAACGTGGTGGTTCCATTGTATTATTAGGAGGAGGAATGTAGTGAGCAGGATAGGACGCTGGAGGTATAGTATAATTGCCATGGCAGTAAAGAGGTGGAGCATGGGCATAAGGAGGCCTCAGAGCACAGTAGGCTGGAAAGTAGTTATGGTCACAGCAGCTATGACATTGTGCAGGATATGGGTAGGCATAGTTTCCCCCAGAAAGCCAAGATTGATAGTGTGGAGGACAAATTTCAAAATCTGCTTTCATGTGACCAGGAATAGGCTCAAATCTTGGGTGATGATGATGACTGTGATGGGGTGGAGACGGCATTTGATTCGTCTGATGAGGGTA